CAGAATCTCCATGCATCATCTACTTCAGTAAATATCACTTTTACTTGGAAACTTTCAGGCTCTCATGAATTTTGTGCCTAACCTACAGGAGGTATTTTCTCCAATAAGACCAATTATAAAAGAAATCCAACACTGGCATTCAACATATGATGCTTAAAATGTGTAATTCCCAATAAGTTATTAACATAGGTTGTATGTCACATTTGGATTTATCAATTAGCTCACTATGAGTTTGTGCAAGCAGCTTTTTGACTACCATATAACTGAAACAGGTCTCTGAACTATAGCCCATTCCTAAAAAAAACTTTGAGTAGGTATGAACATACGTTCAGGTTCAGTTTTGTGAGACAATCCAATCACGCATGAAAATTAGCAATGGCTGTGTATTACTGAAGGTGTAAACTCATAATCAGCTGAGCCACTAATTCAGCTGCATTAAACATAGGTAATAATACCACATATCAAACACAAGGGACATTATTATATTAGGACAGGTAAACCAGCCTTCTATATAATTCTATCAATAATTAAGCTTGATAATACAGCCGAATCATTGTATATGATTATTTATATTATATATAACATATAAATTTTCATTTACTATCCAAAATTAAACTGTATGCTTATTATATATGAAACAGGATCTAATGTTTATGTATGAAAGTCTACAAAATCTAAATACTTTGGTAATGCTGTATCAGAGGTAAATAATTTTGAGAGGAGGCATGGTTATTCTGGATATTATATTTTGGATATTGAAACCAGAATCCAGTATATATATCTGGATCTCACTAAAATCAATGGTTAGTATGTATCAACTTGTTGGAATTATGACCAAAATGCTTACCTTTTCAATAATACAATAATATGTGTATCTGATACTAACGTACTGAATCCAAATGTTAATATTTGACTCTTCCTGATCAATGAATACTTGAGTCTTTGCAAGATGTCTAGATGTTCTTTAGCCAAGCACAGCAGACAAATAATTTATTCCCATAGCATACTTTCCGAGTTATTATTTTGCTGAAAAAATAATACATTTTACAATACAATTATGATTTTTGTATACTCTTATTATTAAGATAAGGCATTACACACTGCAACATTCATCTGGGGATTTATAGATTTTGGAAATGTAAAGTATTTCATTTGAACTAGAAGAAAAACTTTGCTACCAAAAGTTCAGTATAGGTCTGTTAGTTAATGCATCTCTTTATGTACATACTGAAGGACACAGCAGAAATAATACTTCATACAGTTTGATGAACAACATATAACTCATAAATCTAGACTTGCAAAAACGGATTGGGGACTTACAAAAAAAAAGTGCATCTTCTGTCCCTTCTGAACAATAATTTTAAAAATCTCCATGAACCCTATTACACAAAATAAATATTTTTAGAGAATTGTTATAAATATATTTGATTAAACATAAAATTAACTTCAATGTAATTTTAACGTTTAAATGAAACTTATATGACAGAGTTGCCTATACAATGCATAAGGCCATATGGCTTTAGATAGCATGCTTCACTGATTTTTGTCTTCGTATACTTTGCTCTCTGTATGCTCAAATGCAAATACGGAGCCCCTTCCTAAGCTCTTTCAGTAAAAAACAGCTCTAGATGCACGTATTTCTCATCAGAGCTCTGACGTACATAAAGAATTACTATATCAATGAGATTTACTCAGTCATAATAATTACATGTTATATATTCAGGCTAGCATATACTATAGCATAATTTTTTTTATCCCCATATTCTCTGGCTGCATCATAATATTTAAAAAAGAAGAAAATGGAAAGATAGAATACAGCTCCTCAATAATTGATATACATCATGCTAGCCTAGCATGAGGATAAGCTATTTCTATTCTATAGCAAAGACGGCCAGTTTGGTGTAGTGGTTAAGGCACCAGGCTAGAAACCAAGAGATTGTGAGTTCTAGTCCCACCTGAGATATTAAATCCAGCTGGGTGTCCTTGGGCCAGTCACTCTCTCTCAGCCCTAGGAGGGAGGCAATGGCAAACCATTAACTTTAACACCAAATGTCAAAGAGGAGCTTGTAATAAGAAAACACTGCAGTGCTTTTAATAATTCCAAAGAGCTAATCCACTCAAATATTTATTTTAAAAAGCCACAGCAGCATGGTCGTGTAGGGAAATTCTGTTATAAACTGAGTAGTTCACAAAGGATTTCCAAGGTTACTGATGGCTATATTATTACCTTTGGTGAGCAAAACTGACACCCCTTCTTCCTTGTTCCCCTCCAGGTTTATTTCTGTGCCATCCTCGTTCTTTTGTTTTGTGCTGCTTTGGTGTTTTTGTATTGTTGTTTTTAAAATATTGTTAACAATTTGTAAACTACCCAAAGTCACTGGGAGTTGGGCAGCATATAAATGTAATAAACTATTATCATATAGAAGAGTTTGGCTGTATCTGTGGATAGCTTGGTAAATGCCATAATTTCTTCACATCTTCTTGGTACAAGCCAAGATAACTACAAATAACTACAGAATTCATACATTATCCCTTTGTTCTCCAGAGAGGACATTTACTCATCTAAGACTGCAACATATAGTTAACATTCTTTTTAAAACCAGGCTGTTTTCAAACATTACCATAACCGTGAGCCTATACTATCTAAGGATAAAGATACTGCACTAAGGCCAGGAAAATGCAGATCCCAGTGCCCACCTGGACCTCGCTTGGGTGATTTGGGCCAGTTCACTAAAGTACTTTACATGATTGTTGAGGTGAGAATAAAGGAAAAGAACAGTCCCATTCCATGTGTATTATCTTAACCTCTAGAGCACAAGTGCATAGTTTTTTCAGGCTGAGAGTTGTGCTTCCCCTTTGAGCAACATGCCAGGGCTGTACTCTGAACAAAAATATAGATTGGCTAGGGCAAAACTAAATAAGATTTAACCTAATTTTAATTAGTTTGATATGTACTTTTTTAAACATATGGTAAATATGATTAATAAGTAAAAAAGAGCAATAGCTGAAGTCTTGGCAGAGAGCCTAACGATGATTGAAGTCTACACCATAACATACACATTCTTACTTCTCCTCCCAGTGATTTGCAACTCTCAGGTTCAACATGGAAGAAAAATCATAGCCCTTTGACTCTTACTTTTTGGTAAATCAAGTTCTGACTTGGGTATGTGCTTCTGCAGAGAAAAGCCACGTGTATCATCATTGCCTGTTCCACCAACATTTTATCTGGTATCCTAAAGAAACTTCCTCTTTTAGAGCCATAAGCTCCTCTTCATTCTATCATAGAGTATGGGAACAGTGGAGTTGTTACATGCTTGCTGAGATGTTATTTTACACCTATTCACACTGGAGTGTGGCAATAGTTTGTGGTGCAACAGAAGGTATAGTGACAGGAAAGGCACTGACATGGCTAGTACGCTCTGGAATCAAGCATCCACAAAGCAAAATTCTGAACTCTACTGATAGGATGCACGTGAGACAATGAACCCATACTAAAGTTTATTCCATGCATTTGCTCTGGGCACACTATCCTATTCCTGCTTTGAAAATTATACAATGATTTCTTCTGCTGTGGAAGATGTAGGCCTTGTTTCAAAGACTGACTTGAAAACCCAAGTTCACTTTGGCTAAGCCAATCTTTTCTGAGGCAGCCCAAGGAGGATAAATAACATAAATCACTGAGTTGTTTGGTGTAAGTTTCTCAGCTTTGAGGCATAGTCATCCCTGGACATTATGGAAAGAAACAAAAGAGTTTTGTTTATTGACCTTATCTTCACATGCACTGTGTTTGAATTTTATCCTCTTTCATAATCACTTTCCTATGCCTGATAAACCCCTCTTTAACCTTTGTAACTGAATTACTCAACGAACTATCTCAGAGTAACCCTTCTTTTTTCTCTTTTTTGAAAAGCAAGAGCTGAGGTTCATTCATGCTGATAAGACTCACACAATTATTCTCACTCAATAAATAGAAGAAAAGTCTCTGAGCAAACTAGAGTCTAAAGGTAGGGAGCCGTGGTCACTCTTCATGAGCCTTCTTTCAACACTTTCATTCAGCAACGCTTGCAGTTTTCAGAGGCCCAGGCAAAAAGCTATTAGTCAGCTCCCACAGCTCACTTTATGTACCTATATTTACATATACACTGACATGCACAAAGTCTAGTATCTATTACCGCAAAATCATTACGCTACTTGTACTCTTCACTGAAGAGGTAACAAGAAGTCCAGTCCTTTCCTCCCATTACCAATGCCATAGCCACAAAGATGAGCGACCTTTGGCCAAAGGCTCCAAGAAAGCAAGGATATGGTTGGTGACTGTGATGAAGAGAACAAGTGATAGTAATCAGGAGCACAAAGTGCCGCAATATCAGGCACAGAATTGCTGTTCTTGTTTACTACAAGAAAAAACATCCATCTATAATCATATTTTCTAACCTGCTCTGCCCAAATGTGTTTGGATTACAGATCCTGGGATTTCCCAGCCAGTATGATTAACAGACTTCTAGCAGTTATGATGTTAACACACGCAGAAGATGCAAAACTGGGAAAGGTTACCCTACAAATAGAGAGAAGGTATATGCATACAGCCCACCAGGAAGAGAGGAGACGAATTACTCCAAGCTGTGTGGCTACCACTCTCCCCTCCATTTCAGATTTTTGCTGTCTGCAGCATTCTGGGGTCTGCCACCTACAGTACTACTAGGCCAGTGTTTCTCAACCTTGGCTACTTGAAGATGTGTGGACTTCAACTCGCAGAATTCCCCAGCCAGCCACAGGAATTGAAGTCCACACATCTTCAAGTGGCCAAGGTTGAGAAACACTGCACTAGGCTATGGTATGAATCCTGGCAATTAACTAATTATATCAATCATTAATGCCAGATCAGGATCTACTAGGAGATAAATTAAATAGAAAATAGCAATGAATTTAAACAAATAAAAATGAGATAACCATCCTCATTAATTCTGTAGTGATACTTTTAAACATATAACAGTACTTACCCATTTCCTGGGCCGGCCTCTTGGTCGTTTTTCTCCAGTGGTTTCTGCTTTCTGTAAAAACAAAGATACATGCTATAGATCCAAATTATTTGTAATTACATTATTGGACAACCCTGGTGTTTGGGTAACTAGTTCCTGCATACTTCCTGCAACAGTGTTCTTTTTATTTATCTACTGATTAGATGGGAGCCACCAAGAAAAAAAAATGCTATTATCCCTCTTGCTCTTACTCTTCCCCCCCCCCCCCCATTCTCTCCCTTTCTCCCTTATGGAGAAATGCTGCACCCATCCTTTCATAAAACAGAATGAAAAGTTCATTGTTTAAGGAAGGAAATGGCTTTTTAAAAAATGATAGACCATTCACTGTGATCTTCGTGTGTCTAGACTATTGATAAGAATGTATGGAAAGCAAATCAACATTCTTGACAAAAAACTATCTTTGGATGTATCTGTTTAAAGAACTTTTCTTTGTTTGTGGGCCAAAACAAACTCAAAATGTTAGCAATGACTGCTAACATAAAAAAGCTGGGGCTAGAGGAATGTAGGAAGATCAGGAAACATAGACTCTATACATAAATTGAATGCTAGACTATTCCGTGCATACTCAAAAGATACGTTTATTTAAAAAGTCATTTTATCCATCTTCCTCCTCTCCAATTCCAGACATGTTTTTGGTGCTAAGTACTAATTATAATTCACATCACACAAATATAAGAAATAATATGAAATTAAATTCTTGAATGAATTTAATTGAATAAATATATCTTGCATGAACACCCTGTTTTCTCTTTACCTTTGCCAATCCATTTGCAAAACTGGATGAAAAACAATTAAAAATGTTGAACGCTTCCATCATTTATACCCCAACAATATATATTATTACTCAGAAGGAAGTTTCCCTGAATAGGTTAACACATTGTGCAAAACTGTAACTATTACTTGTTGAATAAGCCCTTATAGCTAGGTTCACACGTAACACAATCATATCAACCATGATTTAACTTCTATAATGGATGTGTTCATAAAACATGCTAAGCCATGGCTTGCTTAGCTGTAATTAAATAAATAATAATTTGCTGGGTTCATATAAATTCTAAGCCAGAAACCATGTTTTATAAATCACAATGGTTGGATTGATAAACATACCAAAGCAAAAACTAACTAATTACATCATGGCTTACAGCAATATGTGAACCCACCTCCTGACTACTATGAGAATCATTAAATGTTCACAAGACTGCAACCTTAAGATTTAAGCAGCACTTCCCCTGCATTACTTCCAATAAAATTTACAGCAGCCCTATAAGTTAATATTGATACTACAATATTAACTATAGTGTTAAAAAGAGGAGGGTGATAAGATGCAGTTAAGTAACAATGAGTTGCATAAAAACATTACACAAATGGTAAAGCAGAATTGTAATTTCAAAAAAAAAAAGTCAGATTTACTCAGATACTGGTGCATGTTGTTTGACCACTGCTGCTTGGCTAATTCTGCTCGTAGGTATGGCTAATATATTCTGAAAGATCAGTCCACAAAGGCTTAGAAAAGAAACAAGGCAAAGTTCCCAGCATAATGTTAAACAAGCCACAGATGGAGCCATAGGCAGGAATACCTAACCATTATAGTACACTATTCTTAGTTTAAGGCTGGGCGGTGAAAATCTGAACAATCACTAGATGGGAGGAAAGTCCGGGTTTTTTTTGGTTTTTTTTACTGTCCTGGTTTACTATTACCTGCATTATAAGTGAACAAAGTTAAAATTATTATTTAAATATGAACAATCAGGCAAACTAGTAACAGGCAAAGCTAGCTTTCCATTTTGTATAACCTGCATCTGTATAGCAAAAGATACACTACAGTAAACCACAGGCTAAAAAACAAATTTAAAATTAAAATAATATTTAAAAACACTTTTAAACAATTTTCAAAAGCAAAAGAGTGTATTAGGCTTTATATTGCTTCTCTTTTAGCTACTAAAACTTTCTAAGGCATTCTATAGTTACCTATTTTCTTCATAGGTGGGAGATTTAAAATTTTATTCCCCTTTTTAAATTTATTATTAAATTTATATGCCGCCCATCTCCTCCAGAGCTATGCTTAACACCAGTTATTACATATCTCACAAATTTAGGCTTTAAAGAAGCCCATCTAATCCCAGTAGTGCCTATACAGTGGTACCTCGGGTTACGAACACCTCTGCTAACGAACTTTTCGGGTTACGACCAGCTCCGGCCGCAAAAATTTCCCTCAGTTTGCGAACTCCGCCTTGGGGTACAAACAGGATATGCGGCCATTTTCCCTCCCGTGACACGGCCCGCAGCCATTTTTCCGCCCCTGACACATGGTCCGCGGCCATTTTCCGCCCCTGACACATGGTCCGCG